ATTCAAACCCCAAGTGGTTCCAGTTAGATAGAAAGTTGAGTCGTATTGTGACATTGAAGTTGATTTCTGTAAGATGGGCCTTCCACGTCAGATGCTTATCACCCAAGTATTTAACTATATTAGATAATTGTAAGAGAGAATTATCTATTCGAATATTAAATAGATCAGGATTTCGTCATGGTTGAAACATTTTTTTTTGCTTGGACCAAACAGAATGGCTTATGTTCTAAAGGAGTAGTGTTTAAGCCACCAGTGTCTTACCCAAACAACAAAGTGATTGGTTTTCCCGCTTTTGAATGCCGTTATCATACTTAACATTTTGTGGGAGGGGTGAATTGAAAATGTCACAAAGGATGTTATTAAATTTTACGAAAACTAAAACACCTATTCCTATATTTAACTTTAACTATACAAATAATTATCATTAAGAATTTTTATGAACAAAAGACTTAAAACCAAATCATGTCAGATGTAAGAATTCAAACATACTTAAAATATAATTGTTTTTTGTTTTGTTTTTTACAAAACATCATTTCGAGTTTTTCTGATTGTCAACTCTTCGGTGCTTTGTGGAATGTTATTTAGTATCTCCAATAACTGAATTAATTCTAGAATTATCTATGGGGACTAGACCCCCCATCGATTTTTGTTAAACATAGTTTAATAAACTATTTCTGGTCCAAGCTGTTTGCGGGCCAATTACCTTCTTGATTACAGAGTTTCCGATAACATACGAGTCACTTAAAACAATTTTAAACAAAAATTCACCAGTACTTCTGGGTTTTCCTGTTTAGTGTACATAGAAAATGGAAGATTTCATCCAGTTTTATCAGTTCTTTACAGTGTTGTAAAAAGCAAAACATAAAGCACCTCAGTTATAATACAATATAGAGATTGAACGGTGCAAAAACAAGTCTGTACGTTTTTGCACTAATATTTAAAATCGACATTAAGTTAAGTAAACTCCTGGTTACCAGAGTTATACACGTTTTATGAGGACTAAATTACACGATGCTTAATCTAAAGACGTTATAACAGCAACATTATGTACTTACGACGTCTTGGAGAGTAAACGTTTAAAAACAAACAGTCTTCGCTCTGGTTCTGCAGGAGAGGTAGGATGCGTTGAAAGTAAGCCAGACGTCCCGGTGTCATGCTTTTCAGGGCCGTTGTGGTGTTCTGGATTTCGGGATATTTCTGAGGACAGACGGGGCCAAACTGATCGGCTCTCCAAATTCCTCTCCAGGGAGCAGGGGTGACAGGCGGCATGAAACGAAGAGACCCTACAGGGGCACTGGCGAAAGGAATACCGAGAAACACTTCCACTGACCTGAGTTGTTTCTTTGGAAATATATGTATGAAGCCTCTTACGGGCCCATATTTCGTATGTACAATACGAGAATTTGGATTGCCTAGAACTGTGACAAAGTTATAGCATTCGATTGTAAAAAAAAAGGCTAAAGTTGCAATACTTAATGTTGATCGTACTGTCTTTTCAATAGTCATCGTGTCTTCACAATTCACCTTGGTCTAGAGAAACAAATATGTTTGTCTACAATTCTTATGATATTGATATTTACGCATAGAAGATTTCCTGATCGAATATCGGTCCATCACATGATTCTATGTCAAAAAAAAAAAATTTGATCAGTATAAAAAAAAATAAAAAACACGCATAAAATACAATAGCTAGCGATTATCAGTGAATTGAGCATTTGGTAAAATAGGCCTAGCTGAGTAAAGTGACTTTGGGATAATCTGTATCTAATATAAACAGTATTACAACATGTTTTTAATGAAAACAACCAGAAGTTTCATGCTATCATAAAAATGTCTTTGTTAAAGCTAACATTCTGTATTTTTTAATGAAAATAAACCAATCCTAAAAACTTTACCCTGTTAAGAAAATATGTCAATTCTAAGATGCTCTACCCGATTATAAAGAAAATTACATTTATTATAATACTACTTTATCTTATTGGAAAAAATACATCGATTTGAAAATTCAATTATTTTACATTATCAGGAAATGACTTTGATGTAAAATAGCTTTCTTTAAAAAAAATAATTATTTTAAGTTACTTCGGTGAAATTTAATTTAGATGAAAAACAATATTTGAGCTAAATCATTCTATTATCGATACTTGAGTAAGTAAATTACACAACAATATAACTTTTTTAAAACATTTTCCAGTTAAATTGAATAACAAAATCAAGTTAACCGAAACGCAACAGTACACTAGTTTTCATTGTTGTTCTTTAGCCCATTGATCTATCTAAACTTGTATTTGCAGTTGTCTGATAATCTTAAACGCATTATTGTTGACTATTTTCTAGTTGTAAGTTCAGCATTGGTAAAATAGTATTAACTAGAAATTACAATAAGCTAAGTCGTGTAGAGTAAGTCGTCAAAAAAGCCTTTTTTGTTCGGCGGTCAGACATTTAACCCTGTAGAATACCCAGACGTGTCGATAAAGTAGTGTAGCAGCAAATAGGCTTTTGAGACTGCTAAAAAATATCTTGTGAAATTCTGGGTTTACAGAAATATCCTGTTGAACAGCGAACACGATTTTTAAACTTGAGGATTATCTAAAAGGGACCTAAGCAATACTTTTGTTATCGTCCTATTAATCTTTTTTCTAACGGAAGGGTATTGTACTTACTTGGATCTGAGACTCACATGATGCTGGTTGTTCCAACAGAACATAAGTTATTCTTGTTTTAAGCGTGTTTAAAGTGACAATGCCAAAGTGCAAGAGCACGCAGACTCGTTGATTTAAAAATAGCCTTGTCGTCTCTCTTTGAGCATATTCTGTTTATCCAACGAACGTTGGTTGAGAGTTGCCGCTGTGGCGGGATGAGTCTCGTGCTGCTACTTCGCATGCGAAGAAAGTGATGTCAGTAAATACTGCGTCAGATAAGAAGGACATGAACAGGAAGACGTTACTATTGGAAGGAAAAGCGAAATGTTTACGCTGAGTGAAAATGGAAAACTTCAAAATAATACGAATAGCAATGATATTTGCAAATGTGTAAACATAGTCTGCTATCTTAACGATAAAAAATATTTATAATTTTGCTCTATATTATTTCAGGCTAAAGCTTTTTATCTTGTTCGGATATTTTTATGCCGGTATTAGTACAAAAGTAAGGGCACAAGATCGACCTGTTATATTTTTTCCTTAATTCAACACAGTAGCTGTTATAAAATTTTTCATGCGAAGGTTTTTGTCTCTTAAATTTGTAAGTTAGAATCATGAAAGAAATTAACGTAAATTAAAGATAACTAGATTGAAAGTATTGCAAGCATATATTTTTATGCTGGCAAGTCGAAAATAATTTATTTTGTAGATCATTACAATTTTATAAATCTCCCTAAATAAAATACAAAAGATATGACATAGAAAATCAGTTCAATATTAAAATTACAGTAAGATTGCAATACAGCAGTGAAACTCTCATTGACAAAGTTTATAGGTACGTGTAAAACTTCAAAGAAATGCAGTTTTGATATGAAAACATTGTTTTTTAGTGTTACAGATTTCACATCATCTAGTCATTTTTATTTCGTCTAGAACAGGTGAGATTCAGTTTTCTGTGAATGGTATATATATATATATATATATATATGAATTCAGTGTGTGTATTCTCCAGATATGGCCATAAGTCCCAGAGAAATATATAAATTAAAAGCACGCTTACACCTGTTACCTCTAATATAATTATTCTTTGATGTTTTAAAAATGTCTCTAGCTAGTGACTAAGCTGTCGAACGTAAAGTTTTATGTAAGTATGTATGCGTTCGACAAAGAGATCTTATAATGTCAACCATAAAAAATGTTATTAGACCATGAAGTTTCGACAACTACAGGTTGCCAGCTTTTAAGCGTATGTAAATAGTATTGAAATATATTAACCGTTAGATGTCACTGCTATCCAAGCGAGTGAGTTTTTGAAATTAATTGGGAAATCATCTGAATTGCACGGTCGCAAAATGTTAGGTATTCAATGCAATGCAGAGTTTAATGAATTATTGAAGTACGTTGCATAATGTGCCTTTAGTACAAAAACATCTCAATAAGTAATATACAATTATTATTGGTGCATGGTGAAATATGGACCTTAATGCAAGTTATTTACCGTACTGTGATGCGTTTAGTGCATAAAAACGTCTTGTTTCAGAGTTTAGTGAGAAGAAAAGGTCGTGGTGGATGATGAACAGAAATAATTTGGTGTCAGAAAATTATTATATAATCAATGTTTACCCAAGGCCCAGCTTCATTTTAATAATCAGAAAAGTAGGGCCAGGTGGTTAGCGTGTATGGTTGCGAAACCCGAAATCTACGGTTCGAGCCACGATTTGCTTTTGAACGCATTCCGCACTTTCAGGTGGCAGCTTTATAAGTGTGACAGTCAATCCCACTCTTCGGTTAAGAGCACCCACATCGGCGGCTGATGCTCCTGGCGGGTTTCTCTCATTCAAGTGAGAATTTAAATTAGAACTGTGTGTGTGACTGAAGTTTAAGGGGTCTCTGACTTGACCGATTTTTCACACGTGTTGCTTAAGGTTCCGAATATACCAAGGCCCAAAACGAGAGCTGAAACCAGGACTCTTCTATTAACTATGTAACCACCTTATGCATTTGGTGCAAGAAATGCTTTAAAAAATTACTGAAATGCGCAACTTTATATGTGTTCAATTTCAAAACCAAAGCAATAAGATATAAAAAAAATAACATGTGTTTGTTGATTAGAGCAACACACACCTGAAATGACAAAAAAATGAAGCTATATGGTAGGTTTTCTGAGCAAGATATGCGTAATCAAAATATAGAAAGTTGTTACTGATAACCGGTACATATTTATACATTGCTATGACATCAATAAGCTCCCCAGCGGCACAGCGGTATGTCTGCGGACTTACAACGCTAGAATCCAGGTTTCGATACCCGTGGTGGACTGAGCACGGATAGCCCATTGTGTAGCTTTGTGCTTAATTACAAACAAACAAACAGCTAAACAGACATCAATAATACAAGTAAATTTGTAAGTATATAACAAATAATAGAATAAATATAGAATAACTCCCAAGTTATTATATTGACATAAACGACGCTGTGTTTCAAGACGAAAAAATCATTACGTTGCTCAAGTAGAAAAATTAATAGTCTAAGTTTCGTTCGATATTAGTTTTGGTTAGTTCCACACCGGTTCAGCAGTAAATTTAAGGGACTATGACGCTAAAGTCCGGGGTTCGATTTTCCGTTGTGGACACAGATAGATAGCTCATTGAAAAGGCTTTGCTTTTATCCACAAAGTTTTGGCTACCAATAATTTAGTGAAAGAAATAATATATAAGTTCAAATACAAGTACAACCATGCGATTTAGGTTGTGTTTTCCTTGTGAATATTATTTTTCAATATTAATTCTATTCGCAAGTAGTTTTCAAAGTATAATTTGCCAGTCGGTTGTCTTAATGTTTTCAAAGGAGAAAATCAAAAATAGTTTGGATACGCCAAAGCTGATTGTGTCGCCGTCTATTTGATAAAAATGGAAATTCAGTTTTATTTAGTGTTACTCAATCTGCAAATATTTTCCTGTTACTCGGAACATTCTAGGGAGATTACTTATGTTCACTCACAACACTTATTTGGCTTTCTATCTATCTATATACAAATATATTCAAAAAATAAGAAGTAAATTGTGAGAGAGTTTTTAACAAACATTTAAAAGATCTAAAATGTATTGGATAATTCTATTGAAAGAATCACATAATGCTGCATAACCACTACAACAAACCATGTTATAACCGCTTAGTGACTTTAGATTTAGAAATAGTCTAAAAACGTAAATGAAAACTGGTTCTGGTTTGAAACTGGTTTAAAATGTTCAGTGAATGAAGGATATCCTTTATTCTTAATACGCATGTATCTTCAGTCCTACCGGTGATTTCGATTTATTTTTTTAGTGCCGAGTTGCACAATGGACTATCTACATAGTGTCCATCGCTGGGAATCGACCCCCGAACTTTAGCGTTGGAAGTCCGTAAACCTACCGCTGCCTCACCGGGTAGCATGGTGAAGTTGAATTGGTTTTGTTGCAGTGTACTGTCTGTGTGAAATGCATGGTCAAGAACGTACGATCACATCTCGTGATTTGAGTCCATTTCTTGACACGATCCAACGCAGAATTATTTCAGAGTATTGATAAATAAAACTAGATGTACTTGCGCAGCGTCCCCGAAAGTGTTCTGTTTCAGGAGTAAATAAAAGCAAAATTAAGAGTAACAAATATTTTAATTTCTTGCTTTTCAAGTTCGTATGTCATGCTGCGTTGTAGCCTACTGAGTGCATAATTCTTCTCGCGATTCATGGCATGCGCACATTTTACTGACATCACAACAATACAAATTGCAACGTTAAACGTCTGTTATGTGACGTCATTTTAGTGTCTGCTGACTGATTGATAGACAGACAACACAATACGAGTGATTAAAACAGGAGACCCCTTCAGTCGGTTTTCGGGGAAGTAATAACTCTTGAAAGTATGAATCTTAGTCTTAAGTTAAATAAATATTTCTAATCATTACTTGATATTAGACTGATCTGCAGAAACAGACGTTTAAAACTTTTTTAAATATTTGGTACATAAATAAACTAGAATATATGTCTTAAAGAGCCTATTGGGTTGTAATACACACCTAAGGCATGTTCTAAAGCACTCGATCTGATCAGTTCCTTGAAATTTACATGTTCATTCGCGTGAGTCTTCAGCCATTGGATTGTAGGATCAATATAGAAGGACAAGTAAATTGAAAAAAATAACAATAATGCCACAAACTTAACAACGTAAACCTAGCCAGACTAGGCTACTTTAGAGCGGAGATTTTAACTCTCTTGTAATACTGTTAAAGGACATATTCACTTCTCCGTTACGATTTTTTTGACATATCTGTCTTTAAAATTATAATCAACCTTTAAAAAAACATCATAAAATCACAAACCCAAGATGTACATGAAGTTCGTTTCCCCCGAATAGTGCATTAATATGTTGTTGTTTTTTTAACTTTTCGTCTGTTTCCGATTAAGGTGCAATTATAGGGGCAATTACTTTTCAGATTGACCTGCATATCAGAAATTATGTAGCATCGCAATCTTTCCATGATTAAAGTCAACGCGCAGTGATAACGTCCACTTTGAAGAAAAAGTCTGATTAATTTGCTATTTCTTATATTCCACAGGAACTTTTATAATTATCAGGACGTAAGAGATTTACTGAACCCAGACTTAAAACCTACAATAAACTTTAATTAGGTTCTTTCAATTTGTGAGCTTATAACGCTGATATTTGAATTTCGATACTTGCGGTGGGCACGTCGCAGATAGCCAAAATTTGTAGCTTTTCGCTTGAAAAATAAAAACCCTTGTTTTTGTTGTTAAAATAAAAGAGCGCTGTTCTTGTGATAAGATAAAATAGGGATTTGATATCTATTGTTCCGGAACCAGATCCTGAAAGTTATGTTCTAACAGTTTCTAGGTGTAATAAATATCGTAAAAGAAGAAAAGTGCATTTAAGCAATTTTTATTGCTTTAATGTGACTTGTGGTGACTGCTTTGATTTTTGGAAAGAACAATTTTACAACATAATTGTTTCATAAATACAAACTGAACACGTTTCACGATTGAACAGTCTATAAAATAAAATAAAGAACAACTTTAAAGAGTTGTTATCGATAAAATTTACTAGAGGGCAATATTGAAAAACATCTTTAAATTCTGTTCTATAAAAACTTATGTCGGTAAATTTTACTGTAAAAATACAAACCTATTTCACAAAACACCGCATTACAATAATCCAC